CAGCATCAGCGAGCAGCCCGACCGACGCCTGCCTTTCCGCAACCTCGTCGGCTCGCTCCTGTACCTGGCCAACCGCACGAGACCAGACGTCAGCTTTCGCGTGCGGGACTGCTCTGCCGTTACATGGACCGTTACACGACGGTCCACTGGCAAGGCAGCCCAAGCACGTCGTGCGGTACCTGAAGGCGACGAGGGAGCACGGCCTCCTCTTCAAGCGACGCAGCGGCACGCGCAAGGACCAGCCGCTGGACCTTGTGTGCTACAGCGATGCCAGCTTCGGAACGGACCAGCTGACGGGCCGCTCCACGACGGGCTTCACCTGCTACATCAACGGCTGTCTTGTGTCTTGGAGCAGTCGGCTGCAACCCACGGTTGCGCTGAGCACCGCCGAGGCCGAGTACATGGCCATCTCCGCAGCAGCGCAGGACGTCGTCTTCCTGCGGCAGCTGCTCATGGACCTCGGCGAGCCCGAGGCTGGAGCCACCAAGATGCTGACAGATAATCAGGCGGCCATCGCCATCGGCAACGACCACGTCACCAAGCCGCGCACGAAGCACATCCGGGTACGCCACCACTTCGTGCGGGAGCTCATCGCTGACGGAACCATTGTGCTGCAGCACTGTCCCGGCACGCAGATGGTTGCCGACGCGCTGACCAAGGCACTGGACAAGCAGACCTTCGAGCAGCACCTGCCACGACTGGTGGGAACCTCGACGGCTGAGACAGAGCAGAGGAAGGCAGTTGAGGGGGAGTGTTGAGAGTCAGTGAGTTTCTGTTTTGTGTTGAGTCCTTCCTAATTTGCCTTCTCGTGTGGGTTTGTCTTGTTTGCCAACAACACCTGCTTTGTGGCTTTTCCGTTGGCAAACATTCCTTCCTCTCTGCTGGCATGCATGTGTGCCAACTGCCTCTCCTCTCCTCCTTCCCCTGCACACGTGAGTTGTGTGTCATGTGTGCCATGTGTGTGTGTGCATGCCCGTCATGCTTGGCAAATGCCATGTGTGCGTGCCATGCAGTGTTGTGAAGTGTTGTCTGTTGTGTATGCTTGCCTGCAAGCATTCATGCCATGCCTAGCATTGCTCTGCGCGCATGTATGCATGCTGTTCGCTGTTTAGATTGTTTGTGTTCGTGCACACTCTGCCCATGTCGCCTTGGCAGCTCTGTTGGCTGTGTGTGCACTTGTCTAGTGTTTGTTTGAGCGTGCTGCCCGAGTTGATTAGGCAGCAGCTTGTTGTACTTGTGCATTCTCCTTGTGTTCTTGTTTG